AAAAAAAGGACTCTTGTCAAACTGTCACTGTGTGCAAGAAAAAAGATGCGAATGTTCCCAATTTTAAAGTCTGGCATTCACACTGGGAATCACACAGCTGCCCGGTATAAAATGTGTACTGCTCAGTTTCCTGAAGCACCTGTAGAGGAAAAACTGGTTATCGCTAAGCAACAGTCTGCAGCAGTCGCTCAGCACATTCAGGTTACAGGTCAAAGGTGAGAAAGAAAAGTATGTGGAGGATATTTCTCTTTGCTTTTCCAAGCAAAGCAGTTCAACATGACAGAAAGTGCATGTGTAATTCTTTCGTTTTGTTTTGCCAAGCGGGGAAATCCCCAAATTACCGTTTCAAAAAAGCCTTGTCACAAAAGCGTCTGGTTCTGAAGAAGTGGTGAACTAATGTGTTTTTATTGGCCACCAATTCTTAGTCATTGCACGTGGAGGTCATCCAGCTGTCCTGATAACCTTCATTATACTTCCCTCAAAAGAGATCGGGTGGAGGCGGAGGGGTGGGCGTATTAGACTCCTCCAGCTTTAACTGAAGAAGTCTATTACAAAGTAGAATATTTAGACATTATATTTAGTCCTGCAGGTTTTAGGTGTCCTTGATCCAACACAGCTGATTTAAATGGCTAGATTACCTCCTCGACATGTCTTGATGTTCTCCAGAGGCCTGGTAATGATCTAATCATGTGATTCAGGTGTGTTGACCCAGGGTGAGATCTAAAACCTGCAGGAAACCGGCCCTCGAGGCCTGGAGTTCGACACACCTGTGTTAGAGCATTAGACTAAGCGGTGCGTTTTTTTCTATCCAGGTTTGGTTTTACTGCTGCAGTAGTGCGTTTGGGATCATTGTCAAGCTGAAAAATGGAGCTGTTACCAATCAGATACTTTTCACATAGATTTGCAGGGAAAATCAAAATCTTATGGTAATTTTCAGCAGCCCCAAACCATGACAGAGGCTCCACTGTGTCTCACAGACGGGTATTGTTGTAATAGGGGTGCAGGTACCTCTCCTCTGACTCTCCTCTGTACATACTGACAATTTCAAATTTTGATTCATCGCTCCACAAGACCTGTTTGCACTGATTTTTAGTCCAGTTCTTAGCAAATTAATATAATTTGACATATCTCAACCTTTTCTCCCCATTTCCCTTCTTTAAGAATGGCTTTTCTTATCCTGAGGCTTTTTAAGGACATCATGCTTTTTGCCCTTTGGGAATCACCTTGTTGTTGCAAAAATACTTTAAAAAGGTAAAACCCTGTCTGAAAAAAAATAAAAATGGGAAATTGTGTTTTCTTTTAGTTCCTTGTGTGCCCTCATGTGCTTAAATGACTCATAGATCAGTGATTAGTGGCGTAACAAACAAAAAACTTTCCTCTGAAAAAGGTCACGAACAAGGCCTGGACTAAAAATTAGTGAAAAGCAGCCAGTGTCCAAAAAAAAAAAAAAAAAAAAAAATTCAGGAAGTTTGGCTTGGACCCAAAATCTAAAGAAATGAGGGCTGTGAAGACTTTTGCACAGTACTGTATGGTAAAAAAAATTAACAGTGTGTGAGTAGGTATGTAAAAAGCTCCCTTTTTAAGTTCTTTTTCAGCTTTTTACCTGCTCAGCTCTCTAAAGATTAACTTTATTGCTCTTAAATGTGTGAAATAACAGAACAGATCTGTTCACCCCATCCTTGCAAGTTTGGGAAATTGTCTTCATTAAATACCAGTAAAAACAGGCTTTTCTAAAACACACTGAGGCCTCCAGCCAGACACAGACATGCGTTTGCAGCCTAATCGCATCCTGATTGCTTTGGGTCGTCTTCTGTTTTGCTGTCAATCACCTATCTATGCCTCACAAGCAGCGACGTAAAGATTATAGGCGTTTAATGTAAAACGAAAGAAAGACAAAAAAAAAAGAAAAAGCAGCAAAAGCTCCCTCTGAACAGGAATTTTACAAGAAACGGTTTAGCTTTTCTCTCAAAGCTTCACATATTCCAGTGTCGTAAGAAAAGAAACCTGAATGTGCACGGTGCCGATGTGCTGGTGTTTTTGTGGCGTGAGGTCAAGTTCATCATCATGTTTTTCCAAAAGCCTGAAGGGAAAATGAAAATGGACAAACCTCATCAGACAAACATTATTCAAAGCAGAGGAATTTCTCCCTGTCAAGGATGGACGGGGTTTTTTGTTTGAAACTCTTTGTTTTCAAACAATTGGACCGAGACAAACACAACCGGCTGTACTCAGCTGATTTATTGTGCAGATTAAAATTTTTTTCATCTAGTCAGACAGTTTGAAAAGGTAGAAAAGAAATAGTACTTATTGAAATCCTCACTGCAACTTTTTGGACTCTGGAATACATCTTACAAAAAAAGTACATCGCTCAATTTGCTTCTTTTCCTTTTTTTTTTTAAAGCACTCCAAAATTACACTGAGCAGCAACTCTTACGTTGGACGTTATTGGTCCTCCAGGACTCTTTTTGTGGTTCTGCGTCATGTTCCTCACAGAAGAAAAAAATAATATATATATATATCAATCTGCACCAGCTCTGTTCCCTCCTCTGAAAACCCTGTAAAGTGTTGGAGAGTTACAAAATGAGTCGAGAAAAAATACAATCCGTCTGACGCCAAAAGCTGTCCATTTACGAGTCGCCGCTCAGGAACGGCGTGAGCTGATTTTTCCAGGACGACGTTCCTCGGAGAAGCCCCGGTCTGAATTAAGTTCCGAGAATTATTTCTGAAAGCTTCCAAACTTCTGGGGTTGTTTGGGTCTGCAGACCTGATCGAGTTCCCTCTTTTGTGTGAATTATCAAAGCCCCTTTCAGACATCCTTTCCAATCATCCGATTTCATATCCAAAACAAAAAAAGCACCCGGGGCACTTTTCTATAAAACACCACGTGAGATTATGACTGCATGTTGTTAGGGGTATGACAGATTTTTGGATTTTATATCGCCAACTATGCTCCTAAGTTTAAATAAAACAAAGATGTTGTGATTTGTTTTCATGGGAGGCTCGTTCCTCTGAGCCTGTGTGTGACACACTCGGTCTTTGGAGAATCGGCGCAGGTTCAGTTGAGTCTGCAACATTATGAGCAAAGCTTTTGGGAATTTCTGCAGAAGGAAAATCACCTTCGATAGAATTTCTTGGGGGTGAAAACACGTCAAACCGGTTCTTGATGAGACATCGAACTAGTGTTAAAGTTGTAATAGGTGCAAAAGAGGCCGTGAGGAACGTAACAATAAAGGTTTTATTTAAAAAGATGGCTGGGGGCAGTGATGTCACGCATAATGTCTAAAAAGGGCTTTTACGTCTGGTGTTTAAGGCATTTTCAATATCTTTTCTGCTGCTACTCATCTCTATGACGCCCTCAGAAGTTGCAGGTCCTTTGGGTTGACTTTAAATGCAGTGTACTTGCTCAGCTGTATGTTTATGAAATGATATTTAAATGTCTTAGAAAGTAGAAAGTCCACCATACTGTAACATCGTATGCTGGGAGAAACTGCTTTCCAGCTCTCTGAAGCCGGACTAGAACTAATCCTTTCACCTCGCTCCCACATCTGGTGATAAAAACCACATGTGCCGTTAGCTGCGGGGACGAAAAGAGCCTAACAAACTAATACTTTACACAAAATGAAACACTAACTAAAGTCCACTGTGTCCGAGGCCTCAAACAAATCGCCAGTCTGCTTTTCCCAAAGTGAAAATGTGCGCTGCACCCGTCAGGGTCTCTTAGCATGGAGTGACTACGGCTGGTCGGGGGGGCTGGCGGCGGTGGCCTCGTCGTTGCTGCTGTCCACCTCCTGCTCCATGGGGCTGTCCTCCTCCAGCTGCTGGCTGGTGTAGTTGGTGATCTCCAGGAAGCCGCTGGGCTCCACTACCACGTTAGACTGGCTGGAGTCTGGCAGGATGGAATACTGAGGAATCACCTGCATGTAAGAGAAAAATTGGGCTCAGAGTAGGTGAAAATAGTCCCTCTCAGACTTTTTTTTCCCACTCTAGACTCTGTGTGACATCACAGAGAGGGGATATCCCTAATATGGTCCTCTCAGTCACATGGTTCTAACTGTGTACACAGAAACCCCTCCTACTTACTGTTCAAGCCTGTTTGTGAGGGGCAGCCAATCAAATCAAAGAAAGAGGAGCTAAAGCTAAAGAAATGCGGAGCTGCAGTTGAGTATACGAACGTCCCAGAATAAACAATGGAGCTAGAAATAAGCAACCAAATGTAAGTTATGTCAATACTGAGCATAAAGGTTTTCCCTTTTCCTGTTCTGGGGGAATCACTCTATTTTCCGACATTTGAGACAGTGAGTGCCTTCTTCTGGGCTTTATCATCAGGTAGTGATGCTTCAAGATGGTATTTTCCATCCTTGTTGACATTTTTTTCGGCTTTGACTTAAAGAAACAAAACAGGACTTTCAGGGAAATCCACCTGTTCACCTTTGTTTCTGAGAATTAGACGAGAAGATCGATACAAGTCAGTGAAACTGTTTAGGCTTCAAAGACAAAAACCTTTTCATACAAAGGATACTTAACATAGTAATAGTAAAGCTGGGGAACAGTGAATGACATATTCTTCAGTGGCCAGGTCAGTTACCTGATCGCAGCCCAACAGAGCTGAAGACAGCTGCAGTAAACACCTGGCAGAGCATTTCAAGATATAAAAAACAACCCTTGGAAGTTTTTTCCATTTTTTGAGCCTCTGAAAATCAGGGACTGCGTCTTAAAATTGCAGTTAACGCAAAATATTTTAAATTAAAGTCTGCACTTCCACTGCATATTTGTTTGTACACAACTCAGCTGATTTTGAAATCACCGGCAAAAGCACAAAACTGTCCATCCAAATACTTATGGACCTAACTTCTTCACTCTTTCCCCCTTGGTTGCCTCGGTAACCCTCGTTTCAGCCCTGCTTTTAGAACAAATTGACCGACTGTGCATGAGAGGTTAGTGAGGGTGTTCCACGTCTTCACTGACGTATACTGAGGTATCAAAACCCGTCTTTGAGGGTACGGAGAGGTCGTCAAATGTTGCCCTTGTGGGAGAAAGTGTTAAGAAAAATGTTTGCTTAGCGTGAGATAAAAACACAGGACCAGCTGCTCCATTAGACGAGCATTTGCAAATAAAATCTGTTGGCATGAAAACCTGATTTAAAAAAGGCGTTTAGCATGGGTGTGTTTGTTTGCGACTGTGCAGAGTTCATTTAAAAAAAATAATAAATAAAGCCCCGTCTTTGTTGAATCTCTTTAATAGTTGCACATGCTGCCTAATGAAGGATCAGAGGACGGCGTTTATGGTGAAAAACGTTTCAGTTTTGGCTGAAAATCAGTTGTTTAGTTAACCAAGGACTTTTTAAAGTTTATAAAGTATCTGTGGTTATCATTATCCTCCGTCCATTAAAAAAAAAAACACACTTGTGTGCTTTCACTTTGATAACGTGGCCATATCATGTGCTCTTTGTGCAAAAACGTTTATCTGCTGTGCGATTTATCTTCTCAGTAACGTACAATACAAAACGTACCTCGATGACTTCCAGGTCTTCCTTGCTCCTCTGCGCCGCGAGGCCCTGCAGGCAGCTGAACTGCTGCGGCTTCGAGTGGGAGTGATGCATGGCGGCCCCGGAGCTGCTGATGAACTGGCCCGAGTCCAGCGTGCCGGACACGGCCTGGACCTCCAAAGCTTTCCCCAGAGGGCCGCAATCGCTGGAGGAATCCACCACCATGGGCTCCGTGCTTGGATCGATCTCCGCCTCCATCATGGAGATCTTTAGGATGTCCGACACTGAGGGCTTGTCTCCAGAAGGCCCGGAGCTGGACTCCGGGATCAGTTTGGCAGAAGCCTCCCCGCTGCTGAAGACGGGCGACGAGTGGTGGGAACTGCCAAAGGTAATCTTGGTGACGGTGGCACTCTGCGTGATGATTGGCTGCTGCAGTGACAAATTAGAAGTACTCGTTATTACTGAATTACTACAGCTGACCTCTGGCAGGAGGAAAGACAGTAACCAAAGCAGGTCCTGATAAGAAGATCATAATGAACTGAAATCATAATCAAAGGCACGTATGCAGGCTCTGTATGTGCTACAGCTCAGCCAAAGACAAGATAAGTGTTCATATTTAAAAGTCAGATAGTAGGAAAGCTTGCTGTATGGCTCACAAGCTCCAAATATACAGACACCGAGCTCTTGCTTCAGTCCAACTGTGACAAATGAGCTGATTTGTTATTTGTTCTGGCCACCAATCGGCCTTTGGTTGCCGTGACAGATAACAGAGAGAAGCAGCAGCTGCAGCCAGCATTAGCACAGCCATAAATTAATTTCCCCTTGTTTATCAATGTGTCACACGAGGAGAAAAAAAACAAGAGGTTCATTCCATTTGGCTCAAACGTAGGGAAATCCCAGCACCGAAACATGCACTGCTTATTATTAGATGCTGAGAATTACTTGGGAATGCTGTGGATTCCCTTTTGTAGACTCAGGGAAGCTTTTAAGAACAATAATCCAAGTTGGAATTTTGAACACGTCTAGAGGAACGGTGTCAAACTCGTTTTAATTCACGGGCCAAAACCATGAGCCAAAAGTTAAATACACCCTTTACCACATTTAACTTCATAATGTGTCATTTTAATAACTACTTAGAAATGAACAGGAAGTTTAGACATGATATAAAAAGCACATTTCCTTTCTTTACTAGATTCACACCTCCACATTAACATCTACAAAACCACACGTTGGGTTTTCATTAATAATGAAAGTATGTCACATTGTTTAGCGATGTTCAGAATTTAAATTACCTCAGTTTGAACTTTGAATTCACTTCTATTCTTGTGTTGGATTACAACGACACCATGCAATTAAAATAGAGAAAGCGGGCTTTGAGGGCTTCATTCTGGGCCCTGACCCACATTTGCCATCAGTGCTCTACAGTGATGTTATTAAAATACTGCTCACTGTTTTTAATAGATGTACAGCAGTTATTTAATGCACTGAGCAGCAAAATGCAGCTGATCTCTTTTGATAAACATAAGGTGTCACTCAAATTGATATCGCCCCCTCGGAGAGTGGGAGATAAAAAGGGGAGGCTAGGTGTAGGCCTCTCCCTTTTATCTCCTAGTCATGGGACTGGATGTATGCGTTTGTGGTCGTGGATCGGGACAGAAGTGAAAATCCACTCACGTGTCACCCTCGACAGGTTTTTATCAGGTGACTTAACAGGAAGTCATCATGACAAAATAAAAAACAGGAATTTCTGAGGAGGAGAAGCTGTGGGCATCAGCTGCCTCTGGAAATTTACTCCTGGTGAGCAGGTGTAAAATCCACTCACCTGGCTGGAGGCGGTTTTGTCGGTGCTGACGGGGTGGTGTGCCTGCAGCGGAGGAGGGTGGGACATTGAGGTGTGCAGGGGCCGGTGGTGGGATGTGGGGGCCTGCTGGAGCTTCGGGAGCTGTGGCGTCAACATGGGCTTGGTTGGCGTGCTCGGAGTGGCGGCCTTGGCCCCGGCTGGGGTCGGTGCGCTCACAGGTCTGTCTTTAGGGCTCTGGGTTAAGGTTTGGGGTTTGGGCTGACTCTGCTCTCGTAGCTTGGGGATTTTCTTAGTCAGAAGAGGAGTAGAAGGGAAGGTGGTGGAGGAAGAGGAAGGCTGGCTGATCTGAGGTTTGCTCTGCAGCTGCGGCGGCGGTGGCGTCTGCTGGGTGGACGTGGAGGTGGAGGTGGAGGTGGGAGGGTGCCGGCTCTGCTCGGCCTCGGCCTGGCTCAAAGGCGGCGGCTGAGCGCTTGCAGAGTGGGCGGGTTGCTTGGTGGGTTCTGAAGCTGGTTGGGTGGAGCGGTAGAACAAGCCTGTCTGGGGGTCCAAAGTGTCTCCTTCCAACTCACCCGCCTCTAATCCAGCCTCAGGTTTACCATGACTGTCAGAGTGCTGAAAAAAAAACACATACATGACGCTGTTAACGATCAGCAGGACAAAAATACGACACAGGAGAATTTTAAGGAGAAAAGACTGTACAAAAAGATGGACATAGCCATCGCTCATCCAATTGATTTGCGAATTATTGTTTTTTCCATCTTGACTTTTTGAAACAAGATGCACCATTGAAGTGTGGCTCTGACTGAGAAACGAGGGGCACTGTGCACCGATACGATAGTGACCTGTCAATCAAAAGGTAGACCCGCCCTAAAGCGTTCCCTGCTGTATCATTCCTCTGGAGGCTAACGAGAACCATCATTTACTAAATTCATTCATGTTGCATTCAAAAAGGCTTGAAAGTAGCAACTGAGCCCATAAACTAATCCGGAAAATGTTTTCCGAGGTCTTGGATGAAG